TGCAATGAACTAGGACCCCTCTGGGTTGAAGTCCAAGCCTTGCCTCTTACCATCTACATGACCTTGGGCAGGTCCCATCCCCTCTCATAGCCTCTATTTCCTCATCTGCAAAGAGGGGCACCTCCAAGGGCTGCTGTGAGGATGAAATGAAATGACATGATCCCAGGCTCACTTAATATGAGTAGTTTATACAGGCAGGAGGACCCAGGAAACCTTCTAGCACAACCCCATGTTGTGCTAGGGAAACTGTGTGGGGAAACTGAGACACACAGAGGAAAAAGAAACTTCCAAGGCCAGACAGTTGGTTAGTGAACCAAGTTTTCCATCCCGGCTCTGTCCTACTCTGCCTTCCCTTGTCAGAGGGCTGGGTGGGGCAGGAGGGCTGTGTGCTCTGTTCCCTGAACCTTGTGCTCTGGCGCAGGCCTGCTTGCACAAAAAGAAGGGAAATACATACTCTGAAATATCACAGGGACCCACCCACTTAGCCGGGCACATTTCCTGTTTGCATGTAATTGTCCTTTAAGTGGGACCCTGGCTGATCTCAAGGGAGACAAGCACCAAAACATTCCCATGCATTCCCCCTCTAGCCCTTGCTCCTTGCCTCACCTGTCATTCCCATGTTTCTATCTGAATCCCACCTGTCCTGGGAGTCCTGCCATAGGGCCCCTCCTCCAGAGAGCCTTCCCTGATGTCCTCAGCTATGCTCTTTGCTTTCACTTCTGGGTCCTCCTTCTCTCTTCTCTTCCTCCCTTTTCTGTTTATCTCTATCTGTGTCTTTGTATCTCCTTGCCCTGTCCTGTCTTTGTCTCTTTGTCTCCATGTCTCTCCCTGTCCATCTTTCCCTATTGTTGTTTCTGTACCTCTTTCTCCCTGTCTCTGGCCCTCTCCAATTTGTCCTTCTGCTTCTTTGGGTCCTGGGGCTCTCTTCCATGCCCTTCTGTGACCATCTCTGCTCTTTTTCTCCCTACTTCCTCTCTCTGTCCCCATGGCTCTGTGTGCCCCATCCCCCATAAGCCTCCCTCTCCTTCCTCTTCCACTCTTCCTCATGGCCTCAGCAGATGAAATGGAACGTGTTTTTCTGCAGAGAGCTGGACCAAGAACAGCTGGAAGCTAGTGTTGGAGGGAGCCTCTGAGCTGTGGCCAGGAGACCTGGAGAACCTGGGCAAGCCAGGCAGACTGAACTCCAGTACTGTGAGGCCCCTTTGGAAACATTCCACCACCTTCCCTGCAGTTTCCAGGATAGGCATGGTGCCTTTTTCAGGATTCCTGACCTTGGAGACAAGCCCAAGCCCTGTTTGCCAACCCCTAGAGAAAGCATGGGCTGGACTCTGACTCGGACAGTCCAAGGGCCAATCTCCTGAGATTGGTGGAATCTGGAGGAGCATCACCAAGGGCCTGGGCTACAAAGAGGGGTCTCTTGGGGATAGGATGAGATCATGGAAAGGATATGGAGTAACAGGCTTTGTCACTCATTCATTCAACAAACATTTATGAAGCCATCACAGTGTGCCAGGCTTGGGCTTAGCTCTGGGGACAAAGATGAATCAGTCATGGCCCCACCCTCAAAGAGCTCTTAACCCCCATCAAATGGCTCATTGGGAGTACATTCTAACAAAGTCAGCTCTGGGGTGTGGGCAGGTCAGATTAGCTGGGGTAAGGAAGAACTAGAGAAAGGGATGATTTCTGCAGTCTGGCAGTAAGTGCCTGGGCAGTCAGGCATATTTAGGTGACATCGGGGTCTCTGGTAACTGGAAGGATGAGGTGGGAGGGGAGTCTGTCTAGGCCATCTTGGCTTGGCTAGTTGTGCCCAGTGCAGGCACAGGGCCAGTGTGGAGAGAGAGCAGGTAGGCAATGGAGAGGGTTGGGTGAAGCTGTTGGACAGATGGGTCTGGATTATGGTGGCAATTCCACATTTGTCAGCATTGTGTGATGACCTAGCCCACCAGCATGGATGATTTGTGCTTGGAGTAGTAGCAGAGTAAAGAGAAAGGAAGTCGAGGGCAGCTTCACTAAGACCATGGCTGGAGTGGGGCAGACACAGTGAGAAGCACAGCGGGCATGGGCACCAGGAGGTTTCAGCTCTCACCAGTTCAGCCATGAGTCCTAGAATGCCAAGTCCCAAAGAGGACAGGTGGTGGGAACATGGGCAGGGCATGCATGAAGCATGATTTGTACTACATAGTTCTGGGGTATTCCTGGGGTTATGCAGGGAGCAGTGGGGGGCACCATTGCCCCCAGGGGGAAAATGAGAGGAAGAAGGGGGTATGGCTCAGAGGAGGAGGAGAGGATGGAAATTTGAAAGGGCCACTCTTCATCACTTCCATTTTCTCCAAATATTTCCAGTCTTCAGTTTAGGGCACTAAGGAGAACAATATGATCTGGAACACTTGAGGTTGAGGGAATAGAAGATACTGCCACATGGTGCTCAGGGTCCTTTGGCATCCCATGAGGCCAGGCCTGGGCCCCTCTGAATACTCCTCTGCCCAGCTCTCGAGACCCACCAGGCAGACATGGGGACTGCAGTTGAGCCACAAGTCCCTTGTCTTTAAACACAGGTCTCCATAGAGGCGAAAGAGGACTTGCTTTGCTGCCAGGAACAGAGTCCAGGAGCTGCTGGCAGAGAGTCCTGCTGCCTGGGTTCTAGAGGCCATGCTCCTACTCCCTTCCACCCTGACAGTGCCAGGGGCAAGCAAGAGTGGGAACGGCTCCAGCTCAGCCAGGGACTTCTTCAGTGTGTCACTTAGGATCACACCCTGGCCTCTCCAAAGGACCTTCCCTCCTCCTGCCTCAGTGGGACTTTATGGCTGCCTCAGGAGCTAGCCAAAGGACTTTGGACTTATGGGAAAACAGATGCTGGTGCCAGGAAAACCCCTCACTAGGGTCACAGTCTGAGAAGGAGACTTGGAACTTGACAGGAGCCTTAGTCTTCTGTCCTCCACAGCACAGGTCAGGGGCAGAGCTGTGGATGGGCCTGTTTGTGCCTATGCTGTCCTCCTCATTGCAGTCAGCTTCCTTCATATGCTAACTCCCCTCCCAGCCTTTGTACAAGATGTTCCCCCTACCTGGGGCCCCCTTCTCCCTCTAATACTACCTCTTCCTATCCTTGCCTAGCTAGCAGCATCCCCTCCAGGAAGTCTGCCCTGCCTCAGGCTTTGGATACCCAGGGTGCCAACATAACCTCCTTTGCTGTCCTCTGCATGATAACTAGTGCTCAGATCCCAAGATCCCAAGATCCAGATTCTTGAGACTGAGAGGGCCTAACCTGTTCACTACTGTCCAGCACAAGATATGCACCCAGTCAGTGTTGGCTAAAACAATGAAATGAATAGGTGGGAAAAGGGAGGGAGGGGAATAGTTTTTCATAAAGGTCTTGAGTCAGACAAAAACCTCTCCCATAGAGTTAGAGGATCCCATGGACATCATGCAGCCCAATAACTGCCTCACACACAGAGGAAATTGAGGGCATTGGAGGGTACTAGGTATGCCGAAGGCCTCAGAGGGAATGTGGCATTCCCAGTGCAGTGATCTTTCCAGTGATCCCCAGGTGGGACTGCAGGGACTATAGCAGGCCAGCCAGGGATTGCTGTGTGAGGCTGGTAGGCCAGAAGGCTGAGGGCAGGCCCCTCTGATCCAGGCATCATGCAGACCCAGCTGGGCTGCCTCTGTGTTGGGAGCCTGTCCATTCCAGTCAGCTTGTTTGCTCTCTATTCTCCTCCACCTGCCTGGGGCTGTCGGCATTCTGACCTCCTTGCTTCTACTTGTCACCACCTGTCACAGGCAATAAGAGTCATGGGGCAGGGATGGATGAATGGTGAGCAGGAGGGGAGGGTGTTGCCTATGAGAGTGAGGTCCCCAGGCACAATCACAGTGAGAGTGTCCTGGGGCCCTGGGAAAACACCCAGTCTACTCTACCCTGCTCACATTAAAAAGGTGAGGAGACTGGGGCCCAGAGGCAGAGGGGCCTCCCAGGGTGCTGACTCCCAGCAACCACAGTCTCTTGGCCTCCTAAATATTATTCTTAACCCGAGCCTAAGAAAGGGTCACCTGGGGGTTCAGACTTTACACCTGCATCCTGCTGGAGGAAGGTCATTCCCTCTCTTCTGGAGCTTCTGACTGAATTAACCATGCCTGTATTCACAGTGCCTAGCACAGAGCTGGCCACAGAGTAGGTGGCTGAGTGAATGAATGATGGGGGGGTGTGAAATGGAGATCAGCCCTCTCCCGACACACACACTTCTGGAGGCCATCTCAGGAGGGTCATTCCATTTGTACCTCCCCCAAGCCACTGTCAGTGTCTGCTGAACCCTGCAATCAGTAGGGTTTTGCAGGTCTTATAATCAGTGAATCCTTAGTAGCTGTCCAAGGAGCTGAGCCATTGTGTGTGCTCCATAAATGTCAGATAAATGGTGAACAAATGATATGTGAATGCTTGGATCCAACCAGCATGTGCTGAGAATGTGCAAGGACATAACAATGTGGTCTCTGCCCCTTGGAGGCCTGTCAAGGAGACCCATGTAAACTTGCAGACCCTCACTCCTGTGCTAAGGAAGGGAGGCATGAATTGCTGATGGAACTTATAAACTATAGACCTACTGGGGCTGGAAGGTTTCTTAGAACTGGGCTCCGTGTGACTGCTAGAGGCTGCCCAGACTGGGCAGGCAGGGGCTATGATGGCCTTAGTGATGTGAGACACATCAGTGCATCAGGAAAGCCCTTGGGAGCCCTTCCCACATGCCAGTTACCATTCTCTGTAATTCCCACAACAATCCTAGACATAGTGATTACAATCATTCCCACTTTACAGATGAGGAAACTAAGGCATAGGGAGGTACTGCTTGTGCACAGTAGAGCCAGCATGTAGACCCAGGCAGAATGGCATCAGAGATCTCTACTGGTATAGCTTTCTGGCTTGGGCAAAAATCCAGGGGATGGCCCAAGGCTGTCTCCAATGGATGACACCCTGGCATGTGGCTGAACCTGCTTTCTGTCTTATGTTCCAGGTCACTTTTTGGGGAACAACACTGTCATTGATGTCCTGCGGCAGGCAGGGCTGGAGGTGGACCACACACCAGCCGGGCAGGCCATCCATAGGTAAGCAGTGGAGCATCTAGAGGCATCTTGGGACTAGCTGACTAGCTGCTGTCCATGTATAGGCTGTGCCTGACCACATGCTCTGTGGTCAATTCCCTCTGCTCAAGCCTTGGAGAGATTTATAAGTAAGCCTATGCTGAGATGGGACCTGGTGGGGACAGGCTTGACCAGGGACCCATAACTGGAGGCAGCTGGAGGTGGGAGAGCAGGCAGGAGGCTAGTGTGCAATCTTGATGGGAGGTCATGGCAGGGCCAGATGTGAGATGTGAGAATGGATGCAGCATTAGAAGTTGTGAGATACTTGAGACTCAGAGATCAGAGAATTGGTGGGGGAGGGTATAAGTGACCTCCAGATTGCTGCCCAGAGACACCATGGATGACCAGGTCCTGAATCCAGAAGGTGCCGTAGGAAGACATGCTGTGGCCTGGCCTCATCCCTGCTTCCAACCCCACTCCATGGCAGCCCTACTGCCCCATCCACTCCTGATCCTCACCTTTCTGCCACCTCTGACTATGCCCCTCACCCCTAACTTCCCTGCCAGGGCACACCCACTGTGTTCACAGAGCCTTGTTCCCTATCCTCAATTTCTGTAGTGTTTCCTGCCTGTTCACCATACCCCCCCATGTGGGAACTGCCCAAGGCTAGTTACCTACAGCACCAGCACTAGACAAGAGCTAGGATCTGGGTCTTGGGAAGCCATGGTAGTCTCTGTCAGGATCCTCAGCTCAGCCAAATGCTCCAGTCTTTATATAACAACCTTCCTCACTAACCCACAAAAATGGTCCCATTGGAATTTTTACTCCTGTCCTTCAGGTTACAAGATTCAGAGTGTGAAAATAGCTTAATTAATCATAGCCAGTAACTATTGATTGCTCACTCTGTGCCAGGCTCTAAGCACATCTAATTCATTTAACCCTCACAACAACTTGGCAAGGCAGAAACTATGAGCACCCCCACCTTATAACTGAAAAACCTGAGCTCACAGGTGAAGTCATTGGCAGAAGGACACAAAGCTTGTGCAAGTGACAGTCTGACTCTAGGGCCTCTCTGGGCTGCCATTCACTCCTTATTCCCACTCTTGGAATGGATGTAGAGGCTCAGAAATGACTGAGACCTTGATCTACAAAGATGAAGTTGTCTGGGATCATGCAGAGCATGAGTGCTGGTTCGTAGCTCCAGGTCCATGCACCCCTGGCTCCATGACACTTCTAGAGGAACTTATAAACCCCAGAGTTGGGACTCAATCCCAGCCTCCCACACCTTCTCAACTTCTTAGTTAACCTGAAAAGACTATTCTTCCATTTGAGCACAGCACAAAGCAGTTTGCATGGGGCCGGGGGCAGGCCAGGCTAGTTTGAGGGGTGGAGGATGCAAGGTAGCCTCAGGGTCAAGGCATTCCTCAAGTTCCCTCCTCTTCCCTTGCCCTGCCCCTCCCTCCCACATCCCAAGGACCTTCCCCTTGAAGCTCATTGTGTGTGGCCAGGCCAGGGAAGGGGAGGAAGGCAGGCTTCACTGCTGGCAAGCCTCCATTTATCTCAGAGCCCAGGGATTAAAGGAGGGGTCCCCCCCTGCACCCCTACAGGATCTTCTCCAAGGGCTCTCAGCTTTAGTCTCCTTTCAGAGAAGCAAAGGAACTGGCAGGGCAGAGGGGGTGGGGATGCCGAGGAGTCTCCAACAATAAAAGCCATCCTAGACCACAGGTGCTTCCTGGAGCTATCTTTTTGTATGACTGTTTTGAATTATCTCCCCAACAGCTGCAGCATCTCCATAGCCTGGACCCTGGGAATCTGAGGTTGCCATGGGGGCTGTGAAAGGATAGACTGAGCTGATAGCCTTTTTTTCTTCAAAGAAAGAGAAGCCACTCACCCATCATGCAGTGTGACAGCAGGGTGGAAGAACAGTCTGCTTGCAGTCCTCAGTACCACCTTCCCTTGCCAGCTACTAACCCAGACACAATTTCTGAAATGACTCCTAGCCTTCCTCCAGAGTCAGATGTCCCCAAAGAACTCCACTGGGGCCATGAAGAGAAAAGAGTAAAAGGGAGAGTGTTACCAGGCTGAGAGGCATATATATACAGTCCTGTATAGATCAGGAATTCCATAAACATGCCTACGTGATGCTTTAGTGCCTCTCTGACAGTCAAGTCCTTTTGCTTGGTGGCCACCATCATAAGGAAGCATGGCAGGTGCCAGACACTGTGTTGGCCCTCACCTCGTTCATCCTCACGACACCAGTACAAAGTAGGTAGCAGCATTCCTTTCCTTTTACACCCAAGTGGTGCTTGAGATGATGGAGTATCCGGCCCTTAGTCACACAGGGCAACCTACAAGTTGCAGAGTAGCATTTGAACCATATCTGTCTACCTCCAGCTAGAACACTTACGACCTAGCTCTGCCTGGCCTCCACTGAAAAGGTGCATGTAGACTTCCATTGAACACACGTACAGACAGTGGAATGAATTGAAATGATGCAAGGAACACAACTAACTGCCACACTGTTGGGGTTCCTTACTGTTGTCAGGCACTATTCTAAGCACTTTGCGTTCACCTACATCATCCTCATGATTTCCCTGTGAGGGGTACAGACTGTCATATCCCTATTTTATAGAGCAGGAGACTATGGCACCGTGCAGGTAGATAACTCCCCTACAATCCATCAGCCAGAGTTGTTGAGTGAGACATTGCCAAAAATCATAAATGTCTGCGGCTCGCTCTCCCACCTCCTTCTAATGTTGGCTCAACTGTCACCTACTGGTGACAGAGCACCTTCCCTGACCAGCCGTCTCCACCCCCACACTCTCCCACCTGTCTCTAACTAATGTTAGTCTTAGCTGTGTGGTCACCTGACATTCTGTCTTCTGCTTTGGAATTGGAGCTGTGAGAGGGCAGGGTCTAGGTATCTATTTGGGTCACTGCTGATATTCAATTCCTAGGAAAGTGCCAGGCTCAAGAAGTATTTATTGACTAAGCAGATGAAAGAATGGCTCAATGCTCCTTCTGTGCATTCCAGATGATGGTTTTCCTGGATCCTTCTGGCTTGACCCAGCAGGGCCCCCTGGCATTTTCTCCTACCATGGTGAATCACATTCCCTATCACAACTGCATGACATGCTCGTGTGCTGTTTCCTTTTCCAGCCCTGCTGCTGCAAGCCCAGCACCCGCTCCTGAAGGAACCTCTGCCAGCCCAGCTCCAGCAACCCCAGCTGCCATCCCCACAGCACTCTCTGCGACTCCTACTGCCCCACCTGAGGAGGAGGATCCAGCCCTATCCCCGCATCTCCTGCTCCCTGACAGCCTCAGCCAGCTGGAAGAGTTTGGACGGCAGAAGAAGTGGCATAAGAGGCAGAACAAACACCAGCGGCCTCGGCAGTTCAATGACCTCTGGGTTCGAATTGAGGACAGGTGAGCAGAGGAGCATCAGGTTGACCAGAACCAGGTATCAGTACCCCCCAGGACTGTGCTCATTGTTACCAGATGAGCCCTTCTTTCATCAAGCAGGAATGGGGTATCAGAGAAGAAACTTCTGGGTTGGTTCTCCCCCATCCACAAAGGATCCCCATGGTTGTCTTTTGGGGTTTTGAGAACACATTCACATCTGACTTTGCAGTTTTATTATCAAAATGAGTGAATACACTTCTCTGCACCTTTAAAAGAAATAGCCAGGTATGGTGGTGCACACTGGCACTCCCATTACTTGAGAAGCTGAGGCAGGCAGACTGCGAGTTAGAAGTCAGTCTGAGCTGTATGTAGTGAGACCATATCTCAAAAAAAACCAAAAAACAAAAAACCACAACAGGTTGCCATGCCAAAAGTCCTGAGCTCCTCTTGTCTGAGAGGTGTGAACAGGAGCAGGGAGGTTGCAGAGGGGACCCTACTCTGGGAGAGAGGTAAGGCAGATGGTGACCGATGTCAGGGCTCCATCTCAGGAGTGTTTGTGGAAAACCTTGTTGTAAACAAGCCGGTCCTAAGAGGCCCCTCCCTCCTTTCTATAAGCTCTTCCTGTCACCACCACCCACTCAGACTATCTGTCTTGAAAGCTCCTGCTGTCACCAAGATGCTGTCTGCATCCTCCACTATCATTCTCTTTACATCCAGATCAGTCTCCCTGTGGGGCAGGACTCTCTCCAAATGCAGAACAGTGTCATAGTGTCACCAGAGCACTGAATATCCCAGGGAGGACTATCAGTGAAAGAGCAGAGTTCTACCCACTGTGGTAGCCCAGCCCTGGACAGTGGATTCCTGGAATCCACAGTCCCCATCTGGACCCTGAAGATATCATCCACAATTTTCCTCAGCAACTTGGGCAGAATCATCTTTGGTAGTTGTTAAATAAATAAGCAAATCCCCAGGGCTGGTGGAGTGGCCTGCCTAGAAAGCATGAGGCCCTGAGTTCAAACCCCAATGCCACAAGTAAACATACAAGCAAAACTCCAGCTCCCTGCAGGCCTCATAGGTGAGAATTTGCAGGCCGGACCCAGAGAGCTTTGTACATGGATACCTGGAGGCTCTTCTGAGTAGGTTTGGGAAGCTCTAGCCAAACTCAGAACTTATTCCCCTAGAGTGGGAAGGCCTGTCCAGGGCCACACAGAGAACTAGGGACTGCTTACACTTCCCACTTCCTGGTTCTCCTACAACCAGGCCTATAAGCCTCTGACAAAGGTTGACATAGTCCAGCCTCCTATCATAAAGGGTAAGGTATACACTGTCTTAAAAAGGACTTCCAACAAATAATCAAACCCACTGAGCCTTTGGGTTTTAAAGCCCCTACCTTGGGTTACTGGAAAATGTACTTCTGTGGAGCCCTGGCTGGCCCTGCCTGCCCAAGTCGGAGGCACTGCTGTAGCAGAGGCATTGCTGTAGCTATATTAGCTACGACGCATTTGGGTCAGCTGCCCAGCCATGGGCATAGAGTTACAGAGAGCTACTTCTTTCAGTGGGGAGTGGGGCTTGCAAGTCGCCAGCCAGGCTCACACAAGAGGACCTGGCAACCCATTAAGAACTGCAATTAAGCTGGTCACTCAGAGCCCTGATGGACTTGCCAAGGTGACCAGGAGACCAGCCAGTGGTAGTTCCAACCCATGGGGTGACAGAAGACTGAGCTGTCAGCTCCAGCAATGAGTCCCCAGCCCCTAACCATGTCTGAAAGGTAAATGTGGGCAAATGACTCCAAACAGTTTCCTTTTCACAACACATGGGTCTGAAATACACAGCCTGGTGTCAGGAGAAGAAAACAGCTTTTCTTTGGCAAAGAGGGGAGCTCCTTCTCCATACCAACAGGTAAATTATGGTTGGCTAACTTTCCTTCCTCCAGCTTGGTTGGAGAAGAAAGTTTCCACCAAAGGGCAGCCTGTTTATAAGTTTCTTGCTGGTTCTTGGGGAAGAAGGTCCTGAGCTCCCCCAAGAAGCCCTGGAGCAGGCTCCAGGCTCCAATGCTCCCAGAGGATCACTTCACCCTCCTAGAGTCCCCAAGTTTCCAATTTCCTGAGAGAGAGCAGAGGACAGCTCTCTGGGGACAACCAGGGTCTCATTTGATGTCCTTCTATCAAGCCATCTTCCTTGGAGCTTTAATTCATTCAGTTTTCTCGTTTTCTTCTCCCTAAATCCATCAGGAGCTATCCTTCCCCTCTTGCCTCTTCTTGCTCATCTTCTGCCTACAGTCCTGTGTCAGGGTCCTGATGGGTCTCCTGGTTGGAGTCTTACTCTTGCCCATCATCTGTTCCTGCTCAGCTCGAGATTCTGCAGTGCCCCCTCCAGCACCAAGAATACTTGCCTCCACATAGGACCCTCACCTCATTTCTTTCCTCCTCACTGTCCCTCCTCCCGGGGCTCACACCTTGTTTGCTGACCACAGCAGGTGATGCCCTGGCCCTCCACCACTTTGTACTGCTTCTCTCTGCTTGAGATGGGATGCAAGTGGGCCTTTGTCAATCTCCCGGTCTGTGAGAGGCAGTTACATCCGTCACATCCCAATCCTGCCAAGAGTCGCCGAAGGCAGGCCTGTTTTATGTGCAAGGAAACAGTTTCAGCCAGATCAAGGACAAGATAGTGATAGAGAGTCAGAACCCGCACTCAGGCCTAACACTGAGGGTAGCATTTGTTACCCACCATGTTAAGTATGCCCCTCCCATCTTCATCTGCCCGAGTTCTCCCTTCCTCCTCCAACTCCCCATGGGGAGGCTCTGTCAAGGCACCATTGTCCACATTGCAGCTCCTCACTTGTTTTTCTAGGCTGGGGAGACCTGGGTACCAGATCTGAATTGGACTGCTCAGGGTACCCAGAGGGTACCCTGGGGTACCTTGCTGGGGGATTGTTGACTGCATGTATGAGCAAGAGGAGGAGAAAGAGTACATCAGGGATGTGAACTGCAAGTGGCTGGGACACCACCTGGAGCAGGCTTGGCCTCCCCTCGCCCCTCATTACCCAAGATGTAAACACAGCAGAGGAAGTTTAGAGAAGCAGCAGCCCATGGCAGGATAATTTATGGGGACCTGTGGAAAGGGCCAAGCGTGTGTCCCCAGATGGCTGCATGGCAGCAGAGCATTCTCCAGGATCCCCCACCTCCGAGAGCCAGAGGGGAGCAGCAGGGAGGGGTCAGGGAAGAGGCTATTTCCCTTAAAAGTGGACCCTGTGACAATCCTTCAGTGTCTTCTTTCGTGCAGTTAGAGCTTTGACCAGCCTCTGGAGGTCATAGCAGCTCTTATTCTCTGAGTGCACAAATCTCCAGTCACACAGGTGTGCGTGCGTGTGTATGGTGAGGGTGGATGTTGCATACATAAAAGGGCAGCATGACTGGCCGGATCCAGATTGGAACCACAGTGATAATATGCAGGTGCAGGAGAGAGAGTATCTTCCAAGTTCCGGGCATGGACCAAAGCAAGGCCCAGAGGCGGGCGTCAGTAAGTGGCAGACACAGAGCCTTGGGGAGTGCTTCCAGGCAGGTGCAGAGGTTGCAGAACACACATGCTTCAAGGTTCATTGCCTCTCTAGGCCTGTTTCCCCTGAGGCTTGAGTACATGGTCAAAACCCCCAAAGAGGGGATGCAACAGTGTTATTCTCGCTGGGCAGGCTCTATACACCTCCTTCTGGCCTGTCCTTCCTGCCCAAGCTCTGGTTCCTCTTAACACAATCAAGCCTTGTCCTGTGATGGTCCAGGGTGGTCCAAGTCTCCATGTGAAGCCAGGATCCCATCTGAATAGAGATGGGAGATGTCCTCGTGTGTCATGAGAAGCAGAGTCATTCAGTGAATAAAAGCACAGACAAATTCAAGCAGAATGGGGTTCAACTCCCAGCCCCTCCTCATACTTGCTTTGGGGCTGAGACAGCAAGTGAGATGATTGCTGTAAAGGAGGAAGACAGCACCAGCCCAGCAGTGACAGTAGAATAGCTGCTGCTGATGTGAAGACTTGAGTAAGACATTGGGTGGAAGCTGCAAACTCCCCCAGTCTAACATGGGTACATACTGGTCTCCCAGCCCTGTGGTGAGTGCTGGTGTGGGAAAGGGACAGATGGCTCCCCAGATCATGTCACTAGAAGAGCCCTGGAACCTCAACTCCTGGGAGACCCTTGCCATTCCCATCTTCTCTCTGGGCCCTGTGTTTTCATCTCAGAGATGGACAGACCCTTCTAGCTCAGGTCCATTGTGAAGCTATTAGAAAACATGCCAGACAGTCAAGGGAGAGAAGGGTAAAGGCATTCCCAGGAGACCGCGGGGACAAGGTATGAAGACTGGTAGGTCCTAAGTTCCAGGAGGTTGAACTGCAGGCAAGCTAGCATGATAGCTGTTTGCCTGCTTCTGTCCTGCTTGGCCCAGAGAAGCTGAGGTCTAGTTGGGAATCACGGTGGGGTCTCCTCCAACTGGATCACATGGAGGCCCTATCACCCAAGCCCTGCGTGCACAAGGATGGTCTCCCCTGCATCTCTGAATATCTCTAAGGAGGTATTTGGAGGCTAGCCCCCTCCCCAATTCCACCTCATTTCCCTGGGACTCTTTCCAAACAATAAAACCCTACTCAGCCTCCAAGGGAGCATTTTCATCTTTAGTTTTCAAAGTGTGAAAACCAAAAAGTGCGCCCCAAGGCACAGGCACCAGCCCCTTGTTTTGGCAAGAAAGCCAACTCCTATAGGCCCAGCACCTAGCTGTAGATGGTTCTTGGAGACCTCTAGTGCCAAAATTCGCCCCTACTCCAGGGAACCCCTAGAAGGAACCTCAAGGGGCAGACAGCTGACACTGTCCCTGGAACCAGCCTTACCTTTCTATGCTTTTGCTTGGGCTTCTGCCTAAGGTCTACATCTGGCTTTTACTGCTGAAAAGTAGTTTGAAGTCCCTGGGTCTGTTTCTGCTCCCTCACTGTAGAAATGGGGAAACTGAGGCCTGGAGGTCAGTGTTTGCCTAAAGTCATACTGCAAGCCAGGGACATAACCCAAACTAGCCTGAGTCTTCTGCCTTCCGTCCAGCCAGAGGTCCTGTCAGCTCAGAGCAGACTTGGCCCCTTGGTGCCAGCCATCTGCAGAGCCTGGGAACACTCAGAGTGTTTGGTTTGGCCAAGGCCGCTTTGCCATGAGACAATTTTCCCCAGCATGAGCCTGAAAGGGGGGTGGAGATCTGGACTAGGGGACCAACTTTGTGAGCAGAGTGGGTCGAGGAGGCGGGTGGGGGCACTTGGAGGGGCTCGGCCCCCTTCCCCAGTCCCACTTCATTTCCCTGGGACTCCTTCCAAGCAATAAAAAACCCACTCAGGCTCCAAGGGAGAATTTTCATCTTTGGTTTTCAAAGTGTGAAAGAAAATGCCTTTGGGCTCCTTGTGAGACATAGTTTTCATAACTCCAACTTGGTCTTGCCCTCCAATAGCAGGGCCAGACTGGGCCCAGGCTCCGACCACTTCACAGGGCATTTGGGCCTGCTGCACTGAAGCTAGTCCTCCGAGCCACTCAGCTGCCCAGGCTGGAACATGGGGTGGCAGCTAGGAAGAAATTTTTATGGACTTCTTGTTGTGGGGGGTTTTTTGTTATTGTTGTTTTTAGTTGTTTTTTTTTTTTTTTCATTAGAAAAGAAGGGAGGATAGAGGCTGAGGTAATGATCCCTGCTGGATGCAGGCACTAATCCCTTCCAGAGGTTCAGACCTGATGAGACCCCAGGCAGCCTCCACCCATGGTGTGTGAGCTCTTGCAAGAAGCAGTGCACTCATTCAAGCTTGCTCAGGGCTCAAGGAGCTGCAGTACCATGGGGGCTCAGGCTGGAGAGACACCTGGCCCCAGCACATCCTTACCTCTTTGAAGGTTTGCGAGAAACCTTACCTCTTTCAAGCTCGGTTTCCCCATCGTGGAAGTGGGAAGAATAATGAAATGACACAACAGGTGTAGTACCAAGTACAGTGTATGCCAACACATAGTCAGTGCTCTATAAGTTAGGGACAGTATACTAATGAGACACAGGCACAAAAAGATGATGATGGTAAAAATTGCCAATGCCATCTCATACCTTCTGGGTGCCAGGCACTGTTCTAAGACCTCACAGATAGAAATCATAAAATATATACTTACCAAACAATGAGGTCTCTGGGAAACATACAAGGGTTTGTAGGACCCTTAACTTTTCCAGATGGCCTTGAGGGACATGGAGATCAAAGGCCTGAAGGGAGTGAGTGAGGCAATAGCACTCTGGAAGTGAGTGGGACAATGGCAACAAGACAGTGAGTGTGACTGGGAGTGCAGGTATTGGGGAACTGTAAAAGGTGCTATCAGCTCAGTGCAGAGAGAACATGACAGGTCCTGTGCAGTCCGTAGGCTAGCATGGGCAGGAGGCAAAGCACACTGAATTCATGAGTTAAGAGAGGCATTAGAAGCCCCCTAGGCCACCCTTTTCCACATGCACACACTGTTCACCATACCTGCATCCTCTGGGAAGGAGAAGAGTTTGTTCCCTCCCCTTCTGATAACTCCTCTGGGACTTTCCAAGGACAAAAAAAGATCGTGGTACTCTAGGTTGGAAAGAACCTCATAGCCAAACTCCACCAGAGCAGAGTGGAGAGGGAGGGCTGGGCAGCCATGAGGACCCCTTCCTTTCCTGAGTTCCACCAGGCCCACACAGTACCTAGAAGCCATTTGAATGCCCACTCCCAAGCCAAGGTCCCATCCTGAGCCTAAGAGGAGGCAGGGGTATGCTTGGTGATTCCCAGGCTCCCCAGTGCACCCATACAGGCTGAGATGGAGCCTGAGCTGTGTAGGAGCATCCACTCAGGATGGTGGCATGGGCTGGGTTCTGGTTGGACCTCATGCCCATCCCAGAGAAAGGTAGGCAGGGGTGCCCCAGAAGACCTGGGAAGTATAAGCCTGTAGGAACTGAGGGCAAGCACCAGGAAACAAGCAATGCTCTACATAGAGTACACCACCCATGCTTCAGACCCCATGGAGACTGCCATTGCCCCATGTCTACCAGGCTGTCCTATAGGCTTCTAAGGAGGGCCAGGCCTCTACCTGCCCACCTATGAATGACCATCTATGTGGACCTGGTTCATACCCTGGCCTTGTCCTGTGTCCTGGGTACTTAACCTCTGTGCTTCATTTTCATGGGCAACAGTGGCCCTGCCTCTTAGTATTGTCGCTAGGACTAATTAATGCATGTGGCAGGTAGTTTGCACAGAAGCAGCACAGGAGCAGGGACTGTGAGGCCTTCCCTCACCTGCTGGGAGGGCCCTCCCCATGTGCAGATTTTCTCTGCAGCAGTGCCCCCCCACACCCCGCCAAGGCTCCCTGGCCCTGTGTTGGATTAGAGCCTCCTGCTCCTGCTTTCCTCGAGGTGGGCTCATGGGGCCCTCTGTCTGCATCTCCTACCTGGTAGGGATCCCTGCAGACAGGCTGGACATTGCTTGGAGCCCCAGCCCCTTTCTTCATTCCAGAATGTGTCCCTCATGTCCTCAGGACTGTCATACTGCTCCTCGTGTGACCTGTCTTTGTTATGCCTATCCCCTCTAATCTTTGGCTCCTGCCTTGCCTTCTGTCTCTCTGCTCATCCATTTCCTATCTGTCTCCTTGTGGACCTGAGCCCTGCCTGCCTTCCCCTCAACTTCTCAAGGCCCCCACGTGCTAAGCTCAGCCTGCCAAGTCCTTCCTGTCAAATCTTCTCTCGTTTTCCTCTGTCTCCATTCCTCCCTCTTCTCTATCACATAAGCTTTCTTGAGCCAAAAATCTCTCCCGTTATCTCTGAATCTGGATTCTATTTTCACAAGTCCGTGCTGGGCTCAGAGATGCTTGTCACGTGGTGGTTATGATGATGAGTATGGTGAAAATGGTAGCATTGTTTGTTTTCTGACAGCAGCCAAGGAGGGGAAGCAGCAGGAAGCAGGAACACCTGTGGACAGGTGTAGAGGCTGAGTGTGCTGGAGACTCCAGAGCTATCTTCTCCCTAATACTAATCCTTTCTTCCTGGAATCCATCCTGGTGATTGGTCATGGGTAGGCCTGGCCTGTCTCTGGAGCCTAGCACAGGAGCTCAGCTGTGCTACCTGCAGAGCTATGAGTGGCCCATTTTCCCCATCCAAGCCCCTTGTTTCCTTCTCTTTCTCATGAGAACATGTAGATCTGATAAAAGTAGATATGAGTCCCAAAAGCCTCTGTCCAGGATAGACTGCTGACTGCTACTCTGCCCTGTGTTTCCTCCCTTCCAGCACCACCATCTCACCACCTCCACTGCCCCTCCAACCCACCCCCAGCTCCAGGACTGCCAAGCCCCCCTTCTCAGACCAGCTACAACAGCAGGACCTCCCAGGCTCTGCCAGCAGCTCAGCATCTACCCTGGACCTCCTCCCCGCCATCACTGCCACCATTGCTGCACCATTCCTGCTGCATACCCTGGGACCCTCTTGACCTTGGCCACCTCTTCAGAGAAGCCAGAGAAAACACAGGAGGGCTGCAGCCATACCCACCACTCCTGCCACCACCTCCAGGGCGGTGCCTGACACCTCGAGGCAGTTCACAAGGGACCTTTAGAATTCTAGAGCTTTATTGTACCCAAATTACATCTTCTTTTTTGTAGAAGGTCTTAATTTCCCATAGTGCTATGGGGCTCTTTTGTAAAATATGTGTCCATATTAAAAGAGAAAAATGTATTTATTCTACCGATAAAACTATTTTTATGTGGCCTATGTTATAATCCCCAAATTAGCCCCAATGCCAACCCAGGGCAAGGATTCCAGGTTACCAAGACATCTGTGCCCTCTGAAGATCATGATTTTAAACTGGCTTGCTCCTGCATGGCTGAAGCATCCTAGCTTCTCCCACTGCAGGGACCTCAAGGGCAGAGCAGACAGACAGGTTCAGTTTTTTGAGGCTGGATTCAGGGACCCAAGGCATGGATGCAACCATCCTCCTCTTCCCTGGATGCATCTAGGGCTTGGGACATGCTGTAGGAAGAGAATGCTGCTATTTTGAACCCTGAGCATCTGTGGACTGGCTCTCCAGAGCTCTAGGTGAGTGTTTCAACCAAAAAGGGGTGGGGGGGGGGCTGGGGCAACTAGGACACTGGAGCTGAGGGAGGCGACCCTACTCACATGTACAGATGGCTACATTAAAATCCAAAGAGAGTGAGTGGGGCTGCTGAATGAAGTGAACTGGGCCAAGGGACAGGAGTGAACACAGAGGCAGTTTAGGGATGGGGGCTCCGAGGACCACTGTTATGGTAATAACAGTAGTACCAAGAGCCATTTGTCCAAAACCTACGGTGTGGCAGGCATTTTGCACTCACTGCACAGATTTTCACACAGTGCTATGAGATGTAATGATCCCTATTTCACAGATGAGGAAAACTAAGCCCAAAAGAGGGGAAGGGACTTGCCTAAGGTCACCAGCTCCATATCAGTGTGTAGAAAAATAATCCTTGTCTTGTAGTCTGTGTTTGCCATATTCTTTCTGCCAGGGAGGGTCCAAGGAGGACAGACTTCACTCATACTGGGATCTATAGTATGAGGCTTTCCCCACCAGACAAAGAGACCATTTGACCAGTTATTCCTATTGGTCCCTGTGGCCAAAGGGCTCTGGGCAGCAGCATGAGCTACCTACCCTCTGCCCCAACTTGCCACATTTTGGAGCCAGTGAAAGTCTTTCCTGCTAAATTTGAGGCTGGGGATGGGGCACAGTCATGGGATCCTGGGAGGCAGAGAAGTCAGTGGGAACAGGCAGGCAGCTGAGACAGAGAGCTGTACCTAGCCTCTCTGCTCCCCAGAGCAGTAGCTAAGGAGCCACAGGACTCCTCTGGGCCAACTCCAACCCTCGAATCCCTACCTGGGCTGGTACTTACTAATAACCTACAGAGTCGTAGGTCCAAGAAGCAGAAAAAAAATAACCTTCACTTAACAGATCATAACAACAGTAGGTAATACTAAGGCCCAGAGAGGAGATACTTCTCCAAGGCAACACAGCAAGGTAACACAGCTGACTCCAGCCTAGTGCTCCCCAGCCTCACTACACATGGATTTCCTTGCTTCATAGTGCCTATTTGGCTCCAGTGATATCATGCCCAGCTTGGCACCTGTCTGTCTTTTGAAGCGGTAGAATTCTGGGCTGCTCATTGGATGATCAGAGGTTCCACAAGCATCCTGGCAGACAGCTGAATTCTTTCCAGCTCAATCCCAGTAGACAGGTTTGAGCCTGAGACCTGGCAGGAGGCTGGAGCTCTGCTTCAGAGAGATGGTCCAGTCAGCCCCATGGGCACCACACACTAAACTGAACTTGACCTCAGTCAGGTCTGGAGTCACTTTATCCTTGGCAAAAAATGCGACTTCCTATTTCTGAGCGGGAAAGGGCTTAGCTGACTTATAAAGCAGGCTCAGAAGTTGGACATCAAACGGATCATGCAGAGCGCTATTGGGATGAGATAAGTGTAAAGGAATTAAAAACACACAGGCCAGATTCCGCTCTGTTTGGGGCAGAGTATGGCATGAGCTGTATGGAGATCAAGCTTGAGGTTAATTAAAGATGAAGCATTTGGGGAAACAGTCCAGGCACCTGACCGTGTGCCCAGATCTGTGCCAGGCATGTGTTCAAAAAGGTGAATTAATATAGCATGTAATTACTGTGCACACACAGTGCCAGGCTCAATGCACGTGGGCTGAATGTAACCACCCTCCTGGGTCTAAAAGAACTCATGTCAAGATGGGACAAGCATCCCCACCCTAGATTATGCTGTCCCGGCCCCCAGTTTCAGGCCAGTTCAGCCTCATCTTTCCAGATTCCTCCTTTAGGAAGACTGGAGGGGATTCCAAACTCTCCCTCAAACGAACAAAAAGTGTTTAGACTTTTTGATGTGCCAGGCATGGTGGTACATGTCTGTAATTCCAGCACTCAAGAGGCTGAGGTAGAAGGATCACAAAAATGAAAAAGAGAGCGAGAGTCCAAGAAATTAGGTAGACATGTTCTAAGAGGAGAGCCAGAGCCAATTTTGGCTTAGACATCTTGAGCCAAAGTTCACTGGTCCCTTAGGACCACTAGCTGGCCAGGATTTGAGATGAATTCAACTTGCTGACTTATGTCCCAGGAGACCTGAGGCACATAAACTGAAATCTCCATGGCTGAGGCACTTGAATTTCTCATCCTGCACCAGAGAACCACTATAAGCAGCCACTCAGACCTTTGGAATGTTCTGTGTGCCTAGCCTCATAAAATGCCTCTGTTCCTTTGAGAGCCTCATGGGTACTTCTCAAATGTCTGTGTTTGACCTTGAGGCAGATAAGAAAGATGGAAGGCTTGAGACCCAGCAGATTAAGTGACCTTCCTAAAGGTGGGCAATGTATTAGTGGTGACCCAGGTCTCCTGTCTCTTGGTAAAGTTGACAGTATGGCCAAGGGCCTTTCCAGGGCAGGTCACAATGGCCATGTCTTCTCCAATGGCTGTCCTGATTCACCAGCATCCTGGTGAAGGCAGGGACAGCTCCATCATCTATGATGAATGTATAAGAATCAGGCTCCAGGGAGGTGCAAAGGGCAGACGAGACCCCCCCCCCCAACCCCAAAGGTCAAAGATCCAGAGTATAATGCATGGAACCTATGCTGACCAGGCACATTCACCCTCATACTGAAAGACCCAGCACATATTTTTATGCCAAATACTCTCACCTACTATCTCCTCGCCTCATCTAGACTTGGGTCATCCTAGGAGTTCAGACCCTTTGTCCCACTTGCCCAGACTCCAGCCAGTGCTATTGTCACAACAGATCCCAAAGAAGAGGGGAAAGTCTTTCCACCAAAAGGAAAACTTATTTTAAAAACAGAAGTCGACTCAGGAGTTGTAGTTTTGATGCGATCCTGTGTGTCAGAGAACAGGATAGTTCTTCAGTGATAGTTTTTCAGTGACCATGAGATAAGAACCAGAGTCCTTCATTAAGCATCCTGGACCCTTCATGATCCATCACAGCTGACCCTGCCACCCTGTGCCTGGATGGATAGAATTGTATTTGTCATTTCTAGAATGGATGGGATGTTTACAGAGCCTCCCTAGACCTGCATACTTCCTTCTCTTCCCCCCAACAGTTCATCCTATGAGGACCATCTCAGATGACATCCCCTTTGAGTCATTTGTGCTCTCTTAGCATCTGTCACATACCCATTGCCCAGTGTTACAACTGTCTACTTGTGAAACTTCTCCCCTATGGGTCTGCAAGCAATTCCATGGCAGGGGCCACATGAATTGTGTTTTGTATCCTCATCTGACACAAAGTAGGTGCTCAATAGTTGTGCAGAGAGGAAAAGAAGGAGGAAAGGAATCAGAAAGAGGGAGGAAGAAAGTAATGGAGGCAGGAAAGAAGGGGAGAGACATTTCCAGCAGGACCAGGAGGTTCACCAAATAGAGATATGGTAACCACTTGGAGTTTTGGCAAGTTACTGATGTAGGTGACATTGAGGTGCCTTCTGGCTCTATATGTCTCAGGTTCTTTGAACATTGTTATTTTTCCAAAAATTCATCTAGGCGGCCAAAAATATCACCCTGGCTGGCTGTCTAAACCAGTAGGGTTTGGGAAGCAGTCCAGCTTCCCCTCCCACACTCCTGCCACCACCCCTCCTTTCTTCAAAAGCCCAGCCAGGTTTGCCATGAGCCAGTAGGCCTATCTGCTGCCCAGGGGCAGGAGGGACCTTGGGAGATGGGGAGGGCTGTACTAGAACCTAGGCCCCAACCCCAGTTCAGAGCCCTTTCTCTCTCTGCCCCCTGACCCTAGGAGAGCGAAGAGAAGGTTTGAGAGATACAGATGGGCCCCTTCCTGGCTCTTTTCAGGGAGTATCAGCTCCTCACACCCTTTCTCCAAAGGCAAGCTAGGCTTTTCCTCTCCAGAGATACTCTGGATACTGCTTGTTGTGCTAGGTGACCCTGGACAGGTCTCTGCTGCTCTCTCAGCCTCCATTTCTTCATCTGTCACATGAAGCTCAGAGGGGGATGCCATGTATAATCTTGGGGCTCCAAGAGGTGAAGTTCAACTCCTCCTCAGGCTCAGGGCTTGACTTTTCTCCCAGGATCCATCCCGCGACCCGCCAGGCTGCCATGGGCTAGGTGTGTGGTAGACAGGAAAGGTAACTGAACAAGTCTTATAGGCTCTCCATCCCAAGTCCTGCTGCTGGGAACGTGGGTTATGAGCAGAATCCAAATCTGAGCTGCCAGGGACCAGCATCTCAGACCTCTTGGGTCCCTGGTGGCTGGAGTGGGCAGGGGAAGCTCTTGGCCAAAGGTGGCTGCAGCTCAGAGGAAAGAGGCAGAGCCACTGCCCTTCCTGAGTCTCACAGAGCTTACAGATAGTCCCAGCTTCCCTGACCTCACACACAAGCTTCAGCTCTCTCTGTATTTGGAAAATACTCATGGTGTTGTTCTCTAATCACCTCTTCCCT